CCCTTTGCCTTAGCTTTAGATGTGCCTGTTGATAGAGAGCTTGACCTTTGACCTGCTTTCACGTTTCTGACCTCTGGCGAGATACCTTTTCACAATGCTTTACTTTTTCAAGGTCCGTGCTACTTTATTTTACAAGGCCTGAGGCCTATATCGGGTAAAGGCCCTTTTAAAATGCTCCATCCTATTGATGGGGAGCTTCACCTGCCGGAAACCGGGTCCGTCCCATATAAAAATACAATGATTGCTGAGAGGATCGAGCTCGCCACTCTCCCATTTTTGCCAGACTCATTTCGCGTTGCAACCTCAACCAACTAGTCATGGCCATCATCAACACAGCAAGATTCTTCAATTCTCATAATCGGGTTACAATTGCAGGTGTGGCATACTGATACCACACGGGCCCCAGTTAGGGCCCGGTTCTGTAATAGGCACAGTTTAGGCCTAGGTACCAGGTCACGACAGTCCCAGCTAGGTCCAGGTAGGCCTAGGAACCGTCGGTTCAGTTTAGGGTCCGGTAGGCCTCATTTAGACCCCACCAGACCCAACGGCTAGTAGTCTAGGCCACGTACCGGTTCATCGGTAGGCCCAGTCGGTGGCGCAGTTTTGGCGCCCACTTTTCAGAGTCCGAAATCGGATCTGAACCGGTGGGCCTGATCAACGGTCCAGACCCGAAGGACCTCAGTAGGACTGAGGCCGACCCAGCACTATATCAGCTGGGTACCAGCCTCAGTCGGTAGGTTAGTAGACAGGAGGTTAGTCTTCAGGATTAGCGCAGCATTTTGGCGTTAGCAGGATTAGCGCAGCGCTGCAGCATTACGAGGAGCAGTGAGGAGAGAAAGAGCTCCGCGGCAGAGAGGAAGTAGCACAGCATTGGGAGCAGCGCCAGCCACCGGCCCAGCCCGCGGCCCAGCGCCAGCCCTTTCAGTGCCATAGCTACTGTGACAGGTACCAGGGAGAAAGGCTTTGCCTTCTCTCCCTCATCTTCCTCCACCGCTCTCTCTCTCTCTCTCTCTCTCTCTCTCTCTCTCTCTCTCTCTCTCTCTCTCTCTCTCTCTCTCTCTTCTCCTACCTTCTCAGTCTAAGTCTACTCCTGGGTTCTCCTACGGGACTACTACGAGTATGAAGGATGTTTACGAATGCTGATGACATTGGAGACAGCAACATTGGGACTATAGGTTGAGGACTACTCGTGGGATCTGATTTCATCTTCCTCTGAAGATGTACTTGACATTGTGAGATCGATATGTGAGACATTGTGAGACACTGTGTTTGCAACATTTCCGATTTTCGCTACCTCTGACATTTCAAGATACTATCTTTGGAAACATTGAGTTGACGTCATCTTCCCTCTCCTCCTCCTTTTGTCTCTCTCCTCCCTCCATTCGTCCGTGGATGATCTCAGACCCTGGCCTTTCTTCTATGTCCAAGGCCAGGGCTTTCACACCACTGATGTATGATTGAGAGTGTTCGATTGCAGTCTGAGTCAGGTCAGAGTCAGTCCATGGGTATCAACTCTTCCGCTGTATTTGTATTAACTCGGTATTATCTGGTCGGTTCTGGGAATCTGCCACATACTTATGACTGTGTTTCACGAGTATGCAACAGCAGGTGATGCCCAGTCAGGCTCTGCCCAACCATCGAAGACAGTGCCTCCCTATTAAGAGGTAACTGTAAGAACCGTCCATACGACGGTAAAGCTTTTGCCAAAAAAAGCCTGGGTGAAGACTGACCTGACTATGCAGGTCTCCCCTCGATGGATGTCATTAACCCGACAGAACTCAACAAAGCTCCTCCCTTTCTTGATGGCATCCCCTCGCCAATAGCAAACCCACACCTGAAGTGATGGTGTATGAGTCGGCATTGCACCATGCTCGAGAATGTAGGGTTAATCTGTCGCAGGTGCAGACCGAACTGGTACTCCCACTAATGACCAGAATACTGTGGCCCCTACCTCCTCCGCAGAATGATACTTCCACCGTTCCACGTTTTTCAATGGCGTAAATGTATCGACTGTGAAATTCTGCCGCAAGCTTACAGAAAAAAGTGCTCCGCGCGTGATGCTCCCACTGGACCCAGCAAAAATCGGACAGGGAGTTCCGCACGGGGTGCCGCAGGGGACTGAGGAGGGCGCGTCGGTTGGCGGGGGCCGTATTTGTGAAGAGCGTCGTGGTGGCACGCGGTGGTGGACCGAGGAGGACAACGGGGGCCTGGGGCGCGTCGGTTCATGGGGCGGGGCCAGCGGGAGACTTGCGGGGCGAGGGCCGGCACCGAGAATTGAACCGCGCAGACTGCCGGCGGGTGAGGGCGCTGTCCGCGGGACGAGCGAGAGGAGGAGCGGAGGAGGAAGGGGGGAAGAGCGGGAGGGGCAGCCAGCAAAAATCGGGCAGGGAGTTCCGCACGGGGTGCCGCAGGGGACTGAGGAGGGCGCGTCGGTTGGCGAGGGCCGTATTTGTGAAGAGCGTCGTGGTGGCCCGCGGGGTTGGACCGAGGAGGACAACGGGGTTTTTGGGGCATGTCGGTTCATGGGGCGGGGCCAGCGGGACACTTGCGGGGCGAGGGCCGGCACCGAAAATCAAACCGCGCAGACTGCTGGCGGGTGAGGGCGCTGTCCACGGGGCGAGTGGGACGAGGAGCGGAGGAGGAAGGGGGGAAGAGCAGGAGGGGCAGCCGGAGGAGGAGGGGGAAGAGCGGGAGGAGCAGCAGGAGGTGGA